CTATAGCATTTCTGTCCTAAAGAAATGGCCAATTATTAAAGATTAAGTGGACATTTGAATTAAATGGTGCTTGGTCAATATTAAACAAGGATTAGATCGCACAGCAATGTGTAAAAATAATCATCAGGATGTTGGCGCCCTCTGCAGGCCTTTGTTGTAATGCGTAATGTACATTAGCTCTATTGTTTATAATACATTGTGTTATTTAACAGTTTTGTTCAATAAAACCATATGATTTCCTGCTTTTGATACTTTATTTGAACTAATTAGTATTGCCTCATTGCTATTATATATGTATTTTAAGTAATTTTAAAGGCTATTGATCACTTACATCTATTTTTATTACCACAAAAAAAATTAATTATAATTATAGGGCATTATGAAATCCGTTTTATTTCCAAATTCATTTTTTTCCATTTTCATTTTTCTATACTCTGTTTTATAGTTGAATAAAATTGTATTAATCAAAAAGCCTGTCTAATTAATTGAGTTTTACAGTTTTATCTTTACCAAATTCTGTTTTCCATTATTTTCTGGGTTCCATTTTAATGGTTCCATTAAATTTTAATAATCAAAAGCATCTTTATTTTTTTTTTATAAAAAAAAGCAATTTATTTTATTAAAAAAAAGTTTTCAGAAATACTGCAGTTAAATTTTTCTCCTATATAAATTCTGGTAAATAATATTTCTGGCAAATACTCCTTTAAAAAGTGTTTTTGGATTATAATTTTATTAGTAGTAGACTAGAAAATGTGGATATGTTGTCATTCTTACACTATAATACTGAACTTTGGTTTCAGTGATTTGGACTATGAGATGGACACTTGCTTCTTGCACTCTATGTTGCACTTTTTTACTTTTGGATTTCATTTGGTTTAATGAAATATAGTTTAATAAAATATTCTTAAGTCAAATTGTTGATTTTTTTTGTGGAAAATGAATCGTTTAGATTAATCGATTAATCAATAAATTAGTCGATAGATTAATCGAAATAAAAATAGTCGTTAGTGGCAGCCCTAAATTTTGTAATGTTAACTACAGTAGGTAGTCGACCAAAATGCCCATTACAGCGGCATGTAAATGCCACCCAGTCACTTGTGAAACTCGTTCTCGAAATCACCATCAAGTGGCGCAAAGGGGACCGTTGGTGCTGTTGCCCAATAAAGCTGGAATTGAGACATTTTCACTTGTGAATGAAGATGAAATAAAATAAATAACTGGTAACATTACTAACGATAATAATATAGCATTATAACATTTAATCAATGTAACTACTGTTACAGCGAAAGCAGTGCTTGAAGTGTGCTTTGTACTGTACAATACTAGACAATATTTTAGATTATTATACATTTAAAGAGGTGTGTATTATGCTATAAAATAAATAAAATGATCAAAAAGGTGGATTACTGTGAATGTAAAAATGAGTGTTATAGGCCGGGCCTAGTTTTCTAAACACATATTTACTTTGTCACTATTGTGACCACATTAATTTTACAAATAAAAGTTTTAAAACTACGCTGCATTAAGTAATTTTATTTTATTAGAGGAATTTTCAGTGTATATTTCTAGCATTTGTATTTGTGACAATAATGACATTTAGCATATAAATCCATGTTTTGAACAGGCTACCACTTTTAATGTTTTGATGCAAAGTAAACGATTAAAATGATTATGTGACATGATTCAATGATATAAATAATACTGCACACCTGTTAAATGTGTGAAACGGTAAAATACTATATAGTACTGTGTAGCACAGAGTAAAAATGTAAGCACAGTCACAGAAGGATAAATATAGCGGAGAAATTAAGAGATAAAGAGAAACATGTGAGTTATTATAGCATGGAAGAGACAGAAACAAAGCAAAAGGAAAGAAAACACAAGGGGAGATCTAACCAGAGTCCTGACAGCAACACTAAAGGAATTTCTTTATAGTATGCACAGGCTGTTCTGTTCAATACATTGAAAGTGGATGGTGACTACAGCTGTTGAGTTCCAAATAAAAAAGAAAAGAAAAATGCTGCCCAAGTGCACAAACAGGGTACATAGGTTTGATCTATTAATATAGACAAAATTGTTTCTTGCACCTGAAAGCAGTTTAACAGGGAATGCCCTTCAATAACCCCTTTGTGGTCTCTGAACCTGAAGCATTACTTTTTTGTTCCACACAGGAAATCAAAATGGCCTACAAGCTGGCAAAGCGTTTCTATTCCAATCCACCCCAGTGGGCAAAGTGTCTGTTTAGTCACTGCTACAGTCTGTGGTTCATCTTTCTTCCTGCCAGCATGCGTACTGCCCAATCCAAATCCCGCACCATGCAGCAGGCCTTCACTGTTCTGCTCAAGATGAGGAGCTCTGAGGTCGAGGTGCTCGATGAGGTGTGTAGATAACATCATTTTTGTTATATATTTTATTATTGTTGTTATTATTATTGCAGCGTTTATTCAATTATTATTATTGACAATAGCTTGTCAGTGGATTTAGATCTCTTATTGTTAGTTGCAATTCACTTTACTGCTACACTATAAAATATAGGCAGCTAAAATATTTGTAATTAAGCAAATGTAAAGTAAATTAAATAATATATAGGATTCTTTTTCATTCTTTATGCAAGTTTTAAGTGAACTGTGCCCTAAAGCTTAGATGGTCTGAATTTGTTTATAATGTTTCATTAATTAAACACACATGCATCCCTGACCACCACCAAAGATGGTTTGAGTGATCAGATTACAACATATCTCAAACTATCTATTTAGCATGTATGTATTTAGCACTGTCTATTTGTGTTCAGATCTTGAAACAGATTGTTAATACCAAGCTTAAACGGGGTCATAGGGATCTGAAACTATAGTTGAGTTCTTTCCTTACACATTTCTTTCAGGAAATGACACTTAAATTGCCTCACGTGGCTTGTGTATTCATGCATGTATTCATGCATTTGTGTATGTAAAGAATGACTTTCTGTAGACCTTGGTGTGACCCTACAGCACAACCGTTGTGTTTAACAGGTGTGTTACCGTGTGGTGATGCAGTTGTGTGGTTTGTGGGAGATGCCTGTCATGGCTGTGCGTGTCTTAATGGAGATGAAAAAGGCTGGTGTTGAACCCAATGCTATTACTTACGGATACTACAACAAGGTGATGAACACTCCCTTACTTAACACACAATAGCACTGCACAACACAGCAATGCAATGCAGACCTGTGAAGACCACTGTACCTTTACATATTGATATTGCAAAGCAGCATGGTCTTATTTGTGACCCTGGAGCACAAAACCAGTCATAAGTAGCACGAGTATATTTGTAGCAATAGCCAACAATACATTGTGTGCACAACTGGCTCTTAAAGGGAATGGGAGATGAGACTCGAATTGGTTTATTGCACGTTATGCCCAAAACACACCCATTACTCATTAAGAGAATAGGGACAACCCTTTTAGACCATGCGCCAGGCGCGCCGACTGTTTTTCCCGTCGTTAAACTAGCAAAAGTGGATTTGGACACGCCCTAAGTGCACCTACGCCATGCACTTTAGACCATGCACTTAGATCGTTAAAACAGGGCTAGGCCTTTTCCCGTCGTTAAACTAGCAAAAGTGGATTTGGACACGCCCTAAGTGCACCTACGCCATGCACTTTAGACCATGCACTTAGATCGTTAAAACAGGGCTAGGCCTGTCACAATAATCAATATATCAACTTATCGCGCAATATATGTACATAACCGCAATAATTTTTGGTGACGCAATATATCGCACATTATATTTGCTTAAAAATTAATGTCACCATGTTTTGTACATTCCACTTGTGCCTGTGTCTTTTGCAGCTTCCTGTACATAACGTGGTGTAGTCATGAGGTGCTAGTTCAAAGTTTAAAAACGCTTCTACAAAAAAAGTTTCATCAGCAGATATTATCTTGTTTAGGGATCTGTGCCTTTGTGCATACGGACATCTGACTGCTAAGGTCAGGGACAAATCTGCAGATGGAAAAATCTCCATACAAGTTCTTTGCATTTTTCTTTTTTTCTACTTGTTACTTTGCACTTTTTGTTAGAAAATGTTTATTTACTATTTATTCAAGTTTTTTTAAGGTATCTAATATTTTGATACTTAATTTCCATGATCTAAATATTCTTAAAAATTAAACGTTTGTTGTCATTTGGAAGTGTGTAGGCCTTCTTGCATTATTATGCTGTTACATTATGATTATATATTCAGTGGCATAAAATGGTCTTTAAAATGACAATAATATCGCTTATCGCAATTATTTCTGGGGCAATATATCGCACAACAAAAAGTTGTTATCGCGACAGGCATAAATAGGGCCCATACTCTGTAACATTTTGTTGCAATCAGAACAATCAGAAAATCAGACCAATGGTCTAGGAGGAGTTCAGTTGGCTTTGATCGAAATTGAAAATGGCAGCCTGTAAGTAGGCATAATTAGAGGCCAAGCAATGAAGCTGCGTAGGCACCTATTGTGCCTACAATACCCCCCCCCCCCCCCCTTTTTCTTTGTG